GCTCAGCACAGACAGCTACTGCCCCGGGGTCTGGAGTGGAAAGGAGAAGGTTTATCTGCAGTGGCCAGGGAGGCACCGCTGAGGGGCTTGCTTGCAAGTTCCCCACGTATAATTGGAGGAAGGGGGTAAACAGGGTTCTACAGTAGCAATAAGAAACAGAATCGGGCAGACAACTGACATATTTGCTTCATTCCCAGTTGCCATTAATTTGCAAATGTTAACCAACAATTTAATAAAATCATTTAAAAAAACTGCCTTATGTTGTTATAATTTTAAGATTAATTGAGATTGAAATTTAAAATGCAATCACACACAGCTTTCCAAACAAAATATTACATCATGTTCATAGGTTTTTAAAAAGTAATCAAAGACCTCAAGCATGCAGTCATACACAGTTTTTGTCACTGTGAAAGTTTGAAACAAAGTGTTTTTTCCACATTTAGTGGTGGGATTCTTCTGAAGCACCTGTGCTATTTTCAGTTAGATACAGGATCCTAGACATTGCTTTTTACATTTATTTACACAGCTTTAGGACTAAGAAACACTGGTGTTTGGTTTGCATTACTGACCAGTTAACCTTTAGATAGGTTGGCTTCTAAATTAGATTTCCAAGTCAGTTTGAATAGCTTCTTTTGAAGTTCACTAAAAATCAGTGATGTTCAATGCTAAAGTGACCTTTTTTCAAGAAGTACTCTTCTTAGTAGCACATATTAATTGTACAAGGGGGTTAGGTTGCCTGTGGCGTGTACGCATGTATACAGATAATCTAGAGTAATCAGTTAAATTTATTGAGGCTACTTGAGTGTACCAGTCCCTACACTTGCAGAACTGGCTTTGTGGAGAGAGAGGTGAGGAGAAAAACAAGGAAACAGATATTAAGTAAACTTTTAATGTTTAGGCAGTTAAATGTCAGTGACATGGTCACTGGGCCCTCTGAGAGGCAAGAATGGTGGAATGAATGCCTCTAAGAGTTCCTTCTTGCCCTTATACTTGTGAAAAACACCTCCTGCTCATTAGCAGATGTATATTGTGCCTGCTGAGGACCAGACACTGGTGTGCTATGGCTGGGGAGCCAGCAAAGCTTCCTGCCCTCCTGCCAAGTGTATTCTAGGAGGAAGGGATGGACAAGCAAATGCATAAGTCATGAAGCATGTGGAATGCACTAAAGGCCAGTGGAGAGTTCAGGGGTGGCTTGTAGGAACTAAACTTCGAACCTGAAAATAAACAATAAAGATCTGTGATCTTTCCCAAAAAGTGGGCAAGCTTCTTTTTAGGTAAAGAGACAAATCTTTAAAAGGTAGGAAGATAGAAGGACAAAAGAAACAGAGAGAGACAGAGCTTTCTGTGTAACCCTGACTGACCTGGAACTATGCATATACATTTGAATGATAAGGGTTTTGCTTCTTAAAGAAAATAATAACAAAAATTCTGTTTAGCCATTGACACTGATTAAATTATGGCTTCCAGCTTTAATTTCCAGGCTCTATTGTGCAATAAAAACTCTTACTGAAAAATCTTCTTCATAATACAGAATTTCTCTAAACATATTAAATTACAATTATGGATTTTACCAGCTAAAATTACATTTTGAAACAAGCTATAGAAATCTGGACTAAGAGTAGCTTACCTTAGCAAGGCACTAGTGGTTAATGCCTAGAATCCTAGCTACTGTGAAGGCTGAGATCTGAGGATCATGGTTCAGAGACAGACCAGGTAGAAAAGTCCTGAGATTCTTAGTTCCAATTAACCATTGTAAAGCCAGAAATAGGGCTGTGGCTCAAATGGTAGAGCTCTAGCTTTGAGTGAAAGAGCGAAGGGACAGAGTGCACATCCTGAGTTCAAGCCTCAGTACTGTCTCAAAAAAAAAAAGTGGTTTTAACTTATTAGAGGCGTATTTGTCTATTATAGGGAAGTCTAGAACAGACTGTTGAAGGAAAGAGAGGGTGGCAGCTGCAGATTGTGGTCAAAGGTCCAGACTCCTGCTACCTACTCAACCATTCTTAGCATATGCTGTCTGTTTTCACATTAGTGAAATCATTTGTGTGTCTCCAGGCAGCTGTCCACGAGGCTGCAAAGAAGGAAGGTGAAGGGCAAGAACAAAGGGGCGTGTGTGTGTGTGTGTGTGTGTGTGTGTGTGTGTGTGTATGTCCTGAGGCTTGAACTCAAAAGTCTCAGCACTGTTCCAGAGTTTTTTTTCCTTAAGGCTAGACTCTACCACTTGAGCCATGCTTCCACTCCCAGTATTTTTCATGCTTAATTGGAGATGAGAGTATCACAGACTTTCCTTCCCAGGCTGGCCTTGAACCTTGATCCTCAAATCTCAGCCTCCTGAGTAGCTAGGATTACAGGGGTGAGCCACCAATTGCTGACTTTGGGGCTTTGTCTTTAGTTCATGAATGGGAGCCTTCCTAAGGACCCTCTGCCTTACATCTCTTGTCAGAATTGTCAGATCCCTTCTAAGTACAGAGGCAACTGGGTAAACAAAAGTTTGTGTAGCTGAGTACATTGCTCTCCTAAACAAAGCACACTTCTGTTACTAAACAAGGGAAGTTGGTTACTAGACAAGGAACAATTGTCTGCTGTGGATTCTTAAGTGTATTTAAACAAAAACAAACATGAATTGCTAGTACCTTCTACCTATGGATAAATTGACACACAGTTTACTCTTTTCTGTATTTGCTCAACAAAATTATAAACTTCTCATTGTAAGATGTATTTTATTTCACACAGATTGAAGTATGAGGAAAATAAAGGAACTGATTGTGTCTGTCATTGTTATTTGGACTCTGAGATCATGCTCAGCACATAAAGCACCCCTGGCAGTTTCCTGTAGCCAGCCAGGAAGCCTCTCTTACCTGGGCCCACCCCCAGGCTGGGTTCTCCCAGCAGCCACTCCCTGGCTGGGCCCTAGGGTTCCAGGATATGCCCCTCATTGCAGCTCTTAAAAACAGCTCCTAAGGGCATGATTCATCTTCCTTCCCAGTGCTAATGACACAATTCCACGGGAAAACTTGCTTCTTGTAGTTAAATGTCTCTGCTTTGTGAATTTGAGCAACTTGCTATGGTCTTAGTGCTCCCCCGCCCCTCCCCATTTCTACTTCTCAGTCATCTAGCCTTTCATTAGTGCAAGGCATTATACAGACCAGCAAGGAACAACATGCTCTGGGTTGTGCCCTGTCACCACAGAGGAACTTAGAATATAAACCCAGCATGAACTAACAAGGTAGAAACATACACTGAAATAAACTCTGTCCTGGACTGCCCCCTATGGCTATTCTCTGGGAACCTTGGAGGCTGCCAGTCTCTCTGCCAATCTCTTAAAGTGTATTTCTTCTGCTCGCTCTTTTGCATATTAAGACAACATGTCCAAAAAAAAAAAGGAAAATAAACTATTGTCCTTACCCAGTTCTTACTGTCCCAGCCTCTTTTGTTAGTTTTTTACATGATCTTGAGAAATATTTTTAAAACAAATATAAATTGATCTCAATTCTTTTCATTTTTCCCCTAAAAAGCGTGCCTTGTCTGTCTCTATAGAGATAGCTCTTTGGATAGCTCTCTGTATTTTAATATATATACATATACATATATACACACACACGTAAAACAGTATATGTATGTTTTACATTCTGATATGCCTTGGGAAGCTTTTTATTACAGTGTTAGCAATTCCCAGCAAGCATCTCGCATCGCCTTCGTCTCCTTTTTTCTTTCTAAACTGCACAGTATTGAAGTGTTCTTTTTGAAACACAAACAGCCATGCCTCCCTCATTTAAAATGGAGATATTATTTACATTTATCACCAGGCTGGTAAAGAACTACCCTTGGCATTTGAATACTGTTAGTGTTACGATGTCTTCTTAAACTTGACCATGATTCACTTTCATGCTCAGATACTGGCCCAAGGAGGAAAGGTGTTGTTGTCAGGGACACCTTCACACACCGATGGCTGTGGCCCTGATGAAATCAGCTTGGCCTGAGAAATGATTTCTGCTGTTTGCCACTTGGGTTTGATTTAGACGTATCGAGAGAGATATCAAGACTCACAAATTAAAGGTGTTGCTTTAGTCTGAATATTTATTTCCCTCAAATGTACATGGAAATCAAATCCCCATGCTCGTGGAATTGGGAGGTAGGCTGTTGGCAGGTGAAGAGGGGATGAGGCAGATAAACCAGAGCACTGGCCCATCCTTTCTAGTATGTGAAGAACTTTGTTCTGTATTCACATTACCCACAATCACTTACTAAAGGCAAGCCTGTTTTAGGAAACGTTACATGATGTGATGAAAGACATTGGGTATTGTTGTCTCGTGTAAATTAGGGCATACTCACACTAGCAAATGAAGAGAGGTGATACTTTGAAGGCTGTAGACACTTTGGCATCTCCTCAAGAGCACCCTGGACCCCAGTGACTGAAGCCGGAAGCATGAGCCAACCCTGCTCACTGTACATGCACAGCCCGCAGCTCCCTCCCACCTTAGGAGTGGGGGACATTTTCCTCTTGTGGATTGAGGAAAGGATTCTTTCATGATCGTGGTTATGGCTGTGGGATATCTGACAGCAGCTGCTGAGGGGAATGAACACGGTGCTGCTCCCGTGAATCACTGATGGGATCTACATGGGTTTCAATGGTTTGTGTAGAGGGAGCTCTCATGACGGTAAATGTCAGCTTCCTGTGGGGCAGGGGTAGGATAGGAGCCACTCTGGGCCATGGAGAACTAGGGTGATCTCTCATCTCATCTGTTCCTTCTGTCTGAACTGAACCTCCATGCTCTGGGACGATGAGATGTAGAATCACTGAATTAGAGCTTGTTTAATCCTCTTCAGTGATGACCTCTGGTAAACAACCAATCTCTCCATTCCCTTTCTTCTCTCTTCTCTTTTCTCCCTCTATATCAATCAGCTGTGACAATGAGAATTCTAAGCTGGTTCATTTTGGCAATATATATACTTCCTGTTTCAGGTAAGCATTTCTCTTTTATTTGTTTGTCCTCTCTCTTTAGATAAAGAAGAATCAGCAGGATGTGGTTAGATTTCTGGAAGCCAACAAGATAGAGTTCGAGGAGGTGGATATCACGATGTCAGAAGAACAGAGGCAGTGGATGTACAAAAATGTGCCCCCCGAAAGGAAGCCTGCTCAGGGCAACCCTCTGCCACCGCAGATCTTTAATGGCGACCGCTACTGTGGAGTAAGTGGCCAGATAGTTTTCACACCATTTCCTTCTTGCTTAGACCACGTGTCACCTGGAGCACAGTTGCGCGATCTCTTCACTCAGGGCCTACTCAGTGCCTGCTGAGGTATGACAGAATGAAGTTGCTAGGGGTACGAATCCAGTGACACACACCGTGTGACTGGTTGTATGATGTGCACGTGTCAGCCAGTCTTGCTGTTCCTTTCTTTGCTTTGGAAGAGCGGTGAGAAGGGAAGTTGAATATGTGTTGATTAAGTTCCATATTTTGAAACTTACCTTTTGAGTAATACATTCGGGGAGGATGTATTCTGGAATACAGAGAACTACTGACAGCCGATGAAAAGCCTGAGAGCTTTTCCTTAGGCCTGCGAGTTCACTCACTGTGAACATGTAAAATATTCTAGACGAAGTCAGTTTTGTCTGCCGCATATCAGCATACCTTCTTATTCCTTATCTTTTTCTATATATGTGTGTGCCAGTCCTGGGTCTTGAATTCAGGGCCTGAACACTATTCCCGAGCTTTTTTGCTCAAGGCTAACTCTCTACCACTTGAACTGCACTTCTGCCTTTTTTGGGTGGTTTATTGGAGATATTAGTCTCACGGACTTTTCAGCCCAGGCTGGCTTTGAACCATGATTCTCACATCTCAGCCTCCTGACTGGTTAGAACTAGAGGTGTGAGTCCCTGGTGCCTGGCTTTATTCCTTATCTGAAAGATAAGGTGAGTAGGGTAGGATTTGCCTTTTGCTTTGACTCTTAAAGTCTATAATCTGTGTTGATTTGGGGGAATGCAGTGCTTTTTAAGAAGGAGATAGGATTATGGTGCTGAGATGCTTGAGGGGCGATAAATAGCTGTGTGGGCTGTGGGCTGTGGGAGGGGAGGGCGAGGGATAAGCAACGGCTTTCAGTGACTTCAGAGGCAAGAGTTTCTCCAGATGTGTAAAAGCAAAGTTAGAACATCAAGCTGAAAGTAGATTCTACACAGACATCTGATTGGTAGCATCATGAGGAGACTTCTGCTACACATAACTTGGAGTTCTGGCTTTCCCTCACATGGTCTGGACATCTTTAGAATGTTCTTTCTTTGTAAGCCTCAGCTTATCACCTTCCAGCAAGCAATGCCACTGTCTGTCTTACTATGCCCAACATTATAACTTTCTAAAGCCGTTCTCAAGTACATTTATATAGAAGTAAAGGTCATTATTTCATGGATTTATATCCTGATATTCTGTTTTATTGGGGGAAAGTACATGGGGAACCAAGGACACAGTCTACTTATGATTACAAAGAATGGAGACTGCACTCTTTGCTTGCTGACTAAAATAAGGTAATGGTGAAAATGTTTGCAAATTATATTATTTAAAATAAAGCAGTGAACCCAACAATGTTATAATGCTTAAAACAAAAACCTGAAAGTTTTCTTTCCCTTGGACTTTGCTGGTCTGAAAAAGCCTTTATCCTGGCTTTGTGGATTGAGGGGAGCCAGTGGTGTGGAATTCTAGGTTGGAAGGGATTTCTATGCGGTTCCCTCCTTATCTTGTGGTCCCCAGTGCTGTGGTTGGAATGTCTTGTGCCATTTCCCCTTTTTTTTTTTACATTGACTTACTAATATTTTCGTATTTTTCCTATTATCTGTTCCACTTGTGATCTTTCTGGTTTGTTTACACCTCCATCTTCTCATTGAACTTTACAGTGAGTGCTTGTACTGGGATTTGAACTCAGGGGTGCTGACAGATACTAAACCACCTGAGCCACATCCCCAGCCCTTCGTGCCCTTTGTACTTTGTTGCTTTTTTTTTTTTTACTTAGTAGCATAAATAACATGTAATATTCTTTGTAATATCTATAACACTTGTATAATACGCTTCTTTCTAATTCATTTCATTTTTATTGCTCTTCCTTAACCTGTCTCCCTCTTCTTCCTCCCTTTTTAACAATATTTGGGGGGTTTCATTTTGCTATTTTCTTATTTTTGAGATAGGATCGTGTGCTTTCTCGCTGGGACCCAGCAGCCTTATTGGTTGAAATTTTGTCTGGCTCACTTTTTGCCCCAGGTTGACCTCAAATCGCATCCTTCCAATCTCCACCTCCCAAGAAACTGGGGTTACAGGGGTGAGCCACCACATCCAGCTCTAATTGAATTTTGTTGTTGTTGGTGGTGGTGGTGATGGGGCTTGAATTCAGGCCTAAGTGCTGTCCCTTAGCTCTTTTGCTCGAGACTAGTGCTCTCCCCTTTGAGCCACAGTGCCACTTCTTGTTTTCTGGTGATTAATTGGAGATAAGAGTTGCACCAAGGGTCTGGGAAAGTAGTTCAGTGGTAGAGTGCTTGCCTTGCATGCATGTGGCCCTGGGTTCGATTCCTCAGCACCACATAAGCAAAAAAAGCTGGAAGTGGTGCTGTCTCTCAAGTGGTAGAGCGCTGCTAGCCTTGAGCTGAGGAGCTGAGGGACAGCGCCCAGGCCCAGTGTTCAGGCCCCACAACTGACAAAAAAAAAAAAAAAAGTCACACAGATTTTCCTGCTTGGCTGGCTTTCAACTATGATCCTCAGATCTTAGCCTCCCAAGTAGCTAGAATTACAAGCATGAGCCACCAGCACCCAGCTCTCTCATTGAGTTTTTCTTTCATCTTTTACCCTTTTACTTGCTGTCTCATTTTTCCTTATTTATAACATTGTATTGTTAACACATGAATGTGAGATATTAAAGATCACGTTAAATATCACTTTTTTGGTTTTCAGTCCTCGGTTCTGTTCCTATTTATATTGATTTTTTTTCTTCCCTACCCTCCCTAGCTTATGAGCCATTAGTTTTTCCTTTTTTTATGTTTTGGTCTCAAGAGTTGAACCCAAGGCTTCACACATTGGGGGTACTGCTGAGCTGTCCCCCCATTCTGTTTGGGTCTTTCTCACACATAGAGGGCTTTCCTTAGATATCTGGTGATTTTGTCTTTTGTTTATTTAAGAGCTCAGGCACTAAAAAGGTAACTGGGAGCCAGGGATCCAGATGGGAACTCAGGGCTGCTTCCCAGTGAGCTCTTAGCTTTCCCGCTGTGGGTGCCAATGATGTCTGTAGGCCTTTTCTCAGGAGGTGATTTAGTTTTTGAAGAGAATGACCACTCAGCCAATTGGCCATGGACCTATGGCGAGTCCTGTCATTTTCACCTGCTCTCCTCAGTGCGCCTGCTTAGGAATGGTTTCACTTCCCTGAGGACATCTCTATTCCTAACATGTCTTCCAACCTCTTTGGGGAGAGCGATTCTCTGCCGTGACCCCCTCACCCCTTCACCATGGCGAGTATCTCCACTTGCTGGCCTGGGCTGGGACCTAGCAGCTTACACCGTTTATGACTCCTGAGTCCTCCTGTGTCTTGGCCCTGTGGAGTCCATGGATGTTTTCCGTGTGTTGTCTGGGGTTTGGCATTCATATTGATTAAACTGAGCCTGATAAATGGCATCCTATCTGCTTCAGCAGTTTGTCCTGGGGATAGTGACAACAGCTGCTGGAGTGTGTCCCCTCATCATGCTCTGTTCTGGAACGTTGAAGGCAGTGTCTGCTCTTATTAAGGTCAAGTATAATGACCTTGACAAGAGCTTTTGAGGGCAGCCATTCTTAGACCTTGTTCAGGTACCAGTTTCTGTTTGCTTTGCTTTACCCAGAAGTAGTTCATGGGGAGTTTCATCTTGCTGCTTAACCTATGGAAACCTGTCACACTGCAGGTGACAAGATCTATAAAGACTGCATATTTTTTCTTTTCTTTGTTTCTTTTTCTTTTTTTTTTTGCCAGTCCTGGTGCTTGAACTTTGGGCATAGGTGCCGTCCCAGAACTTTTGTGTTCAAGGCTAGTTACTGCTCTACCACTTGAAACACAGCTGCAATTTTGGCTTTTTGTGGTTAATTGGAGATAGATGGATAGAAGAAACTGAATTAGCATAAGCTGTTATTATCCTTATTACTTTTGTTTTAACCAGTCCCCTGCAGTGTCCCAGTGTGAGCAAGAATCTCCTCTGGGAATCTGGATGTTTAAAGGGAAACATTCCGGTACTTTGCCTTTCTGTCCTGTGTTCCCACTACAATAAAGGCCAAAGTCAAATGGATCAAATGTGAGCTTGGTGAGCCTTTTCCTAAACTGCCAAGATGAAATAAGGCAGGCCCTCACCACTATTAGAAGCTTACCTGTCCCTGATGCAGAATTCTCACAGGAGACTTCTCATCTGAATTTGAAAATCTGTTGTATCCAAGGCTGTCTATGTAAAAGATCAATTGAGCTCTGGATTCAAGGAGAGTCTTCTCCACCCAGTGGTTTGCTGTTCTTGGTGGCATGGTTGCATTTGTCAGGAAGGGCAAAGCTGGGGAGTGGGGAACAGATGACACAGATGCCCCACATTGCCAGAGGCTGAGCACCCACCCCCATGTGCCTGGTCCAACAGATAGTCTTTGTGCTCTGTCTCCTCTGCATAGTCCTGGTTTTTATGCTTCCATCTATAAATGTTTAATCTCCCATTTTCACCTGACTGAGCTGTTTGCCTCAATATTCTACAGTGATGAATGCTGGGACGTGACTGTCATAAAAACCATGGCTTGCGCTGTGAATACTGAAAAGCTTCCTGCAGACATGGAGGCCTCCCCGGGTGCACAGCTAGCAGGACACCTGCACTGAGATTAGACTGGAGGTATTTTTTCTATAGTCTCTATTTTTCTGGGCTGTCTGCAGTTAAGAGAATGAAGAGCAAAACATTGCGAGACAAGCAGGCCGTGTTAATATCAAGGTCAGGACAGCAAAGCCCAGTAAACAGAGGGCCATCCCCCGCCCCAAGACATGACCTCCTCATGAAGTCCTGCCTTGGCAGTTCTAAGTTACTTCCGCTCCCTGCTTCATATGTTAATATCTATGCTCCTTGATTTTAAAATCTGCACAGTATTTACTCTTTGAAAGGTGAAATTGAATACTCTTGTAGCTTCTTTTCCTGGCTTTGTCTTGACATTCTAATGCACACAGAAT